CCCTTCGAGCTTTTATATGAGAGGAGGTGTCAGACTCCCATCTGTTGGGGAGAGGTAGGGAGGAGACCGATGGGTGACACTGAGATAGTGCCGAAGAAGACCGATCAGATTTAGCAGGTCAGATAGAGGTTACTAACAACCTAGAGTCTCCAAAAGAGTTATACAGATCGGCGACGATCCGAGCTAGAGCTCCAGGTTAGAGATTTTGTCCTCCTGAAGGTATCCCTATGAAAAGGGGTGATCTGATTCAGGAAACAGGGCAAGCTGGGGCTCCGATACATTAGTCCTTTCAGAGTGATCTCCAAAGTAGGTAAGGTAGCTTACCGGCTGGAGCTACCTGCAGAGCTTAGTCATATTCATAACACCTTCCACGTGTCTCAGTTGAGGAAGTGTGTAGTCGATGAGACGACGGTGGTACCATTATAGGACATTCAGGTGGATATGAGTCTGAATTATATTAATAGGCCGATAGTGATCTTTGATCAGAAAGTGAAAGTTCTGGGGAACAAAGAGGTGCCCCTGGTTCAGGTTCAGTGGCAACATTGAAAGGGATCCGAGTGGACTTGGGAGCCAGAGTCCGAGATGCGTGAGCAATATCCAGAGTTATTTCGAGAGCATGACTTTGAGGTCGAAGTCTAATTCTAGTGGGGGAGAATTGTAACATTCCAAACCAGTTATACTTTATAAACCCTTGTTCTTTTGGTGGTTGTCGGGATTGGCCCTTATATGAGAAAAAGGTGGTAAATGTACGTGAGGTATATGCGAGGTCCGCTCATCGTACTCATGTGTGTGTTTTTGACGCGAAAGCCACCTAATACACTAGGCATACCAGAGGGTATGTTAGGTGTACTAGGCCCAAAGTGAAAACCCTAATTTAGGGTGTGTCCCTATTTAAAGGACATGATTGACTCATTTCTGGCCACCATTCCTAGACATCATCTCTCTCAAACCCTAATTGCTCATCCCTTGAGCTTCCGTGTCCATTTATGAGCTATTAAGTGTTATTGTGTTTCTTTGGGGTGAAGAAGGAGCTTTGAAGAGGAAGGAGTGGTAGTCCAGGCTTTGGATCTGAGCGTATCTGTGGTTGGAGCTTTAGTTAGAGGTATAAAGCTCAAAGCTTTCTCACCCTTTTGATTTGTGCATCATGTTAGTTCATTTTAGGGTTTTGGTCCCAAAGTTGAATGCTTTATGAGATATTGAGCTCCAGAGCTTATTATCAGCTCCTATGAGTGTTTTTAGTGATGTAGAGTCATAAAAATCAAGACTTGGACGTGTAAACCAATCCATACATGAGATATGAGCATTCTTGAGAATAGAGAGTGAGAGTTTTGGTGTATTTGACTTTATCATTCATGCAAAGGCTAATGATAAAGTCATAGACTTTATGGAGTATGAGCCTTTAAGGAGTCCAGATCTAAGATTTGGGCTAAGGTCTTAACGGATTAAGACCAAACGAGTAGAAAGAGAAAAACTGGGGCATATAGTGAATGTAATCCCAGTACGCTCAACCTAGTGTCGAGAATCCCCGATGCATGCATGGCGATAGAGTACGCCCAACGTAGAGGGCTTGTACGCGCAGCGGACGTGCTGCCGTTGACTTTTAGTTGACTTTTAGGGTCTGGTTAATTTGTGGACTATCAAGGCCATGGAAGGGTAAAATGTTCTTTTATCCTTCTGTGAGTTTGTAGAAGGATTACTCTAGCTTCTTTGAGAGTCGTTATTAATTAGAAATAATTATCGTTTTTGTTAGGCGGAGGCTAGACCGGTGATTTGAGTTCGAGGTCAACTGATTTTTTTATGAGGCGAGTCTTCTCACTATACTTACCTGAGTGGTAATAATGAGTGACCGAAGGGTATTATTTGAGTTATCGACCGGAGGGTCCTATGTGCTCATATTGAGTTATGTGATATTATGAATTTCTGTCTTTGTGATATATGATATGCTATTCTGTGTTTTACTGGGATCGGACCGGAGGGTCCAAATCGAGTTATGAGACTGGAGGGTCTCCACTGAGATATAGGAGTGGAGGGTCCAACCCGAGCTGTGAGACCGAAGGGTGCTCACTGAGACATATGACCGGAGGGTCCACACTGAGCCGTGAGACTGAAGGGTCTTCACCGAGACGCATGAGACCGGAGGGTCCATGCCGAGTTATAGCCATGAGAGGCTTATTATTTGTGTATGTGGTATTTTGGCGAACTCACTAAGCTTTGTGCTTACCGTGTTGTGTGATATGTGTTTCAGGTACTTCTCAAGATCGCGGGAATGCGCCTACTTGATTGTACACACCGATTCGAGATTACGTGGATTCTGGGATAGTGACATTTTATGAGGATTTGTATTGACACTTGAAACAATTATGTTTTTGTGAAATATATTATGAGTTTTTATGGTTTCAAAAATGAAAATTTTGGGTGAAAAATTTACATTGTTCCATCCACAAGATAGTAACTTTGCTTGTAGTGCTCGATCGTTCAGATAAAATGAATACTTGGAGTTGTTCCTTGATATTTCGCCTTAAACAATGGTGATTGGTAAAGACGTTAAGATTATTCTTTGAATCGGTTACACCATAAAATGCATGCCAAAATGATAAATGTTGTGACGTCAACCGCTTCTTGTATCATTGTTAAATACTCATGATTACCCTCATGTATTGGTCTTTCAATTCCATTGGACAATTCCTCAAATTTCAGTCTGTGCAATCAATGTTATAAAACATTTCGAGGAATCCATGCCTAGCTTCGTGTGCTACGTACAAAAGTTGATCGTCATTAGATGTCGGGCGTCGTAACTATTCGGCCATATACAGTTGGACAACACCATATCAAAAGTTTTAAAACTTTCACATGAAGTTTTTTATGACATTCAGATACTCATCTAATGTGTTTGAGTTGCTTCCATACACTATTTGACATATTGTTGAGACACATTTTTGTAGCGCACTAAAACTTTTCTAGATTTCATGCATCCCATATTGTTTGAAAAAAAAGAAAGATAATTCATCATCTCTAGGTTACCAACAAGTCACATAAACAAACCTTTTTCAATAGAGAACTTTCTTCAAAATTTCTCTTTAGCAAAGATTGAATCAGTAGCAAAGTAATGCATATTTAGTAGTTGTTCAGTCTCTACGATCTTTGTGGATTGTGTTTCTCATATGAATATTGTTTGAACATGCATTATTTTGAAATAGAACTTGTGTAGTACGAGAGATAATGAGTTAACAAATTAGCGTTGCTAGGTTCATTGTTGGATGAAGATGAACTAATAAGTTATCTTCTATTACTATTTTATGGATGTTCGGATTTATTTTGGTGGAAGGTTATAGAGCAAAAATGAATGGAGTCGAAGAAGGTTGGAACGAAATTAAGAGGAAATAGAAGTGTATTTAAGATAAAATTGAACGGGATAGAATTGAGGTTTGATGTTTATCATGAAATTGATGTAAATAAATAATAGAACGCCGATGCTTTTTATTCACCAGCACAAGTCTAGTAACCACTTTGATATAAAAAATAATATTATATAAGAGCAATTTTAGAATAATTTTCTAGTGAAAATAATAGGATTTGGTGTTTGGTCGGCTTTTCCCAAGCTTGTGGATTTAAGCTTTGAATTATAGCATAGGTGTGATGGATCGGTTTGATTATGTTAATAATCGAAACCAAATCATAATCATTACAATTGATTAATGTATTTTAATAATCATTGGTAACGGTTAATATTGGTTTTAATCGGTTAGTGGTTATGGTTAACGGTTAATATCGGTTAACCATAATGGTTCAAAATGACATAAAAATAAAAATATTTTTCTATAAAAATTAAAAAAACATAAATCCATTGTTATAAAAAAATGAATGATTGTGTATATATAACTATACTGATAGAAGATTACTTATCATATCTAATTCCAAATAAGTTCCCTTTAAAATTTCAATTCTTAATATATTACATACATTATACTCCGTCCCTCCTATATTTATTGTCCACTTTTGATATTTGAGGTATTTATTATTTAACTTTAACCTTAAATATTTTTATTTGTATTATAAAATATTTGATGAAACTTATAAAAATGAAAATACGTTTAAAACACGATCCATTCATATATTATGTTTCAAGTATTATATATCAAAAACAAAAATATTTAATGTCAAAATTGAAAAAGAAATACGTCAAAAGTAAAAAGTGGATAATAAATATGAGATTGAAGAGCATTTAATATTATATTATATTAAAAATATTTATTAATATTATTGGTTCAATTCGGTTAATAGTGGTTCGGTTTTGGATGAAAACCATAACCGAACCATATATTCGATTAATCAAAATTAGAAATCGCACCATATCTTTTAATAACCGTTCGATTAAAATGATTCGGTTATATTGATTAATTTGATTATGTTTCGGTTTTTCGGTTAATATGCTCACCCCTATTTTGAATGGCCCAAATAAAATTATTTTTAATTATTTTCCCTATCTCATGTTTTAAAATGGCATGATCAATAAAATAATAAAAAAAATCCTTGTGCACCTGTCGCAGTTAAATTTAGCTCATGGTGTATCTTTCGACAGTATTCATAAAATAAAATAAAATTGGTAGCTAAAAGTTGTAGTAAAATGTTTGGAAAATATAATTGTTAGTCTTTGAAAATGTTAAAAGTGCATAAAAGGAAAAGATAAAAGTTCTCAAAAATTATTTGAAGTAATTTTTAGATTAATTTTTTTTTGTTTAAAATAAAATATAAAAGCTTTTACTACGAAACAAAATTTTCCTTTTTTACGAGTTTCTTTTAAATGCTAAAAGCTTACAAAATATTTCCAAAACCTTCGCATTGAAGAAGCCCTTAATATACCCAATTTATACAACTTCACCACCAAAAAAGAGGATCCACCACTACCTACGGATATATAATATGGTTTGGAAGTCGATTTTGCAATTAACGAAAATGAAATAAACAAGTTGCAAATGGTAAAGAAGAGTACCAAGTATCAATTCAATCACAATAAAATCTAATTTTCATTTTTTTTTTTTTTTTGTTTTTGCACGCAACACCGATCAAATTAAACCAAGAACACAAAAATCAATCAATCAAACAAACACACATTATGAGCATAAACAACTCAGAAAACTCAAAACCAATGCTAATGCTATGAAATCTCTACAATGAGTAATCGTGAACGTGTGAACTTACATGAATGGCACGAATCAACAAACATTATACACAAATATCAACTCTCAACTTAAGGGAGTAGATTCTAGAGTTGTTCTTCCCTTTTCCATACCGATTTGCTTGTTTGAATGCTACTTTCATACCCACTGCTATCACCCGACTCAACATGTCGTTTCTCAAACGGTCTCTCCCTTGCGGTTTCTCGAGACCCTCTCCGTTCCTACAACATAGACACCAACGTTATGATTTTATAAAAATAAACAGTCAATCTTTCAGCAACCCTTGAACTGATCCACACACAGTCTGCCCCAAGACCATAATGTAAGATGTAAGTCAGGTACTGGTACGTAAAGTAGCCCAATCCACATTGGAATTGGAATGCATTTCTAGTTTTGACAAAAAATGTATTTGATATAAAACCTTACATCTCTAAAAGGAAAATCATCGGCTTCAAGCATGTGAATCACGTGACCCATCTTCGGCCTTTTTTGAGCACTTGGATCAACACAACGTAATGCTACTAAAAGAACGCGCTTCAATGCTCTTGAAGATGGTTTCTCGGGTATCTTAGGATCCAAAACTGCCTCAGCGGTTCTATTTGTTACCATCGCTTTAAGCCAATCAACAAGGTTCACCTATGTCAATTTTAATTAGAATCCAATATAATGAAACCAACATAAATAAAATAAAATAAATTGACACAAACAAACCTCTCCTTGAGGTCGGCTATAGTCTACAGGGTTTCTACCGCTAATTAATTCCATAATAAGAATCCCAAAACTATAAACATCGCTTCTTTCATTCAACATGCCAGTACTTGCATACTCCGGAGCAACATACCTATTAACCAAAATTGTATTTTTTTCATCATTTAACATTAAACCACCCTGAGCTGGCCCACATCAGTCAGAGTATCATGTGAGATGTAAATCAGGTACACAGTGGCCTGCTAGGCGTGTAACATAATAGCCTAGAGCCCACAAAAGCCTAATCCAATGTGTAACTAAATTTTAAAATTTACACTGTAGCTGCTGAGACTCAAACCCTGAAACTCGGGGCGTAAATGTGAAAAAAGTAATGACATACCCAAATGTTCCCATGACTCGGGTGGTGACATAACTACTTTCGGAGCCTAAAAGCTTGGCCAAGCCGAAATCCGAAACTTTAGGGTTCCATTGCCTATCGATCAAAATGTTGCTTGATTTGATATCACGATGAACAACTTTGGGCTCGAGTCCTTCGTGCAAATAGGTCAACCTATAAATTGCCATAAAGGGTTTCAAATAATCAAATCATATGAAAAAATATTAAAAAGTTGGAATTAAGAATGTACCCTTTGGCTGTTCCTAGTATAATGTTCATGCGTATCTCCCATGTAAGCGGACTAGTTGGTCCCACATCTCCATGAAGCCATTGTTCTAAGTTTCCGTTGTCTACATACTCATAAACAAGGATCCTAAATGGGAAAGAAACCATAAATTATGCAGTTTGAATAAAAAATATAAAAAAAAGTGTTGAACTTTGAAACGAAGGGGATTATTTGTAGGGTACCTGTGAGCTCCTTCAACACAATAGCCGAGCAACCTGACTAAATTCTTATGGCGTACGCGTCCGATTGCTTCTACTTCAACTTTAAACTCCCTCTCTGCTTGTCCTCTGTTCATAACAAAAGCACGAAAACATGTATGTTGTGATCTTTTTCATAAATTGGAAAGATTAACAAAATTGTGGGGCGATATATGCTACAAAAACCACAATCAAGACTACAAATTTATTAATGGAATATGATCGAATTGTTATATGCATGTTATGGAATATCGGAATTGAACCTGTTGTTGAGCAAATTCTTGACAGCAACGGTGGTTTTATCGACTAAAACTCCACAATAAACAATCCCATATCCACCTTCACCGATCACATTCTCATCTGCAAAACCATTTGTTGCAATTTCAAGCTCTCTAAGAGTATACCAATGGCCCCAACCCAAATGGGAAACCTCAGGTTGGACAGATATGGGCGCCTGTTGATCGCCTGAGCCGCTTTCATGAGACAACCCACCACCACCACCGCCACCGCCCTTTTCCGGGTAAGAAATCCGGTGCTTCTTTCCTATATCAATCTGAATTTTCTGGTACCCATTTAATTTACTCTCATCATCTGCATGCCTATCAACTACAGCTAAAGAATCAGATTCGGGATACGGGTTTTGACCGGGATTTTGGTGTTTATGGATGGTGTTTGGGGTTTCTTGATTATGAGTTCGGGTCGGGTCGATGCGGATTTCACGAATTTCTTTAGAGATGTTTGGAATTGTCGGCTTTTGAGGTAAAGTTTTGGTTTTTTTGCAGGAATTGTTGTGTTTTGAGGTGAAATAGAGTGAAATTAAGAACATCAAGATCACAATAGCGGCTCCAACGCAAATTCCAACAACAACCCATAATCTTAAACCGAAAATCGAGGTTTTCTTCGAGAGCTCATCGTTTAGAAAACCAGACATTTTGTTGATCTTCTCCTTCTTTCTTCTTCTTCTTTGCTTTGCGGTGATGACCTTAGTACGATGATGCTACATTACAAAGAGACAATTGGAAAAGATAACGAAGAAGAGAGACAAAAAAGGAGGCTAATGGTAGTGGTAGTATTAATGGATAGAAAATTGAGTGGGGATTTTGGGAGTTGGAGGGTGGGGAGGCCTAAAGCTGGACTGATGGGACTTCTAGAAATATAGCGACCCCACTCTATACAAAATTAAAATTAAATTTAGATAGTTTCCTAATTTAAAGTCTGTAAAGATTTATGATGTAAAGTTAATAATTGACTACAAGAATTAATTATCTAAAATAATGTTCTACTATGTTTTGTAGATTTAAATCTTTAATTATTAATATAGTACATATTTTTAATATTGTTTTCTAAAATATATTATCAAAATAAAAGCTGACAAAAAATATATGAATTTTAAGTATAATTTGATTTAACAGTGATTTAATAATTAGTCACCTGTTGATGTTAAAATATGTGGATGTGACATGCGACTTTAATCGATGGTCTATTGGGTTTTGTAAATATTGATGGGTTTATTTTATTTATAATATTGCTTTTGCTTTTGGTAGATGTTTTGCGAATATAATTTTTTCAGGAGTGGAGTACACATATTCTTAAATAGAAACTAATCATTGTCTTGAAACCAAATGCAATAGAAAATTAGGTCAATTAATCAAAGTTTAATAAATACGCTATAAGAAAACAATATAAGAAAGCTTATGAAAACAAAATTAATCAGATAACTGTACTATAATAATTAGTAATATATAATTTTAGATTTAATACTATTAAAATAAATAATACAGTATGTTTTTAACTGTCATTACAATATAGTTAAAGCCCATACGTTTAAAGGAGTGAGGTACATCAATTTGGCCGTACGTACCCCCCCCCCCCCCCCCCCCCCCCCCCCCCCCCCCCCAAAAAAAAAAAAAAAAAAAACATGATCTCATGGGGGCATAATAGTTGAAGTTTGGAATTCTATGAAGAAGGTTTAAGTTTCGAAATTTGGCACGTCCCAATATTGCTAATATTTCACAATTTACTCACTACGACACTACGAATGAATGGAACGAATCACTGCAGCGGTATAGAAAAAAAACTGTTTGTTTACCATAAAATAATAAAATGAAACATTTATCATAAAAATATATAACATATAAATAATATCAAAGTATAATATGTTAGGTTACTTTTCACCTAGTCAGTAGTCAATGCCAAAATATGATACGTTGGGTAGGGCCTAACGAATTATGCATAGTTAGGCATCATAAATAATGAACTTAAAAAACAAAACAATTATATATTACAAAAAAAAAAAAAAAAAAAAAAAAAAACTCTTCGTTCATAATCATTGAAATTTATTCCTTCAAGTTGAAAAACAAAACATTAAAAATAAAAGTATACACAAAAAATAAGTTCAAATCCCAAAAAATACAATGTATATAATAATACATGCATGATATGGACTTAAAACAAATAATCCCAAATCTTCCTTACAAGTCATCCTTTCATCCTCATGAATCAGTGGTATTCCAAATGAAATAATAAGCAATTTGGATTATAAGTCCGGAGAAATGTATTTTCTTTGGTTGTATTGAAAGAAGCAAGGGCGTAGAAGTTGTATAATTTAGTGATTAAGAAACATGCTAAGTTGAGGTGTTTGATTTGATGAAAATTCCAAGGAGATAGGTTGGAAAATAATATTTGTTAAATTTCGCTTTTCAAGATGAAAAAAAGTGGTAGTCGTCGAAAATTTTAAAAATGATAATCAGCGAGGGAATCCACTTACTTCTCAATGTTCATCCCCAAGTTCTTTGTAGGGTGAGATTCGTCGATCCTGTTACTCTCCCATCTCAAACCAGTTATTTTTGTCAGCTGAGACTCGTCGCTCCCGTTACCAATTAACCAGAAATACCACAATGTTGTCATTGTCAATCGTCAATCGCCGTCCAAACCTGCTCAATGAGTATGATTCATCTATTCTATAATATATATATATATATATATATATATATATATATATATATATATATATATATATATATATATATATATATTATCATCTTTTTACTTCAATATCTATAGTATGATTCATCTATTCTATAATATATTTTTTTATCATCTTTTACTTCAATATCTATTCATTAGGTCCGATCGAAAGGTTACACTATAACCCCTCATCTTTACAGGGGTGGAGATAATGAGAGGGCTGCGGGGTGCTATGCCCCCTCCAATCTCTTCTATAACTTCAACTTATAGGATATATATAATAGTCCATGCAGTTGGTTGTTAGAGAACCTAATAATCATATTCAAAAATCCAATTATTATTATATAGACAAATAATAAGCCCATTACAATTATGAAAAGAACTGAGGCCTAGTTGGCTAGCCCATTACAATTATGAAAACTGCATCGACTCCCATTTATTTTAATTTGCCTATATATTACCCCCATTTATTTTTATTAGTGTTCGTAAATAACTCTTGTAACTACTAATTAGTTGATGTTCTCATTTAGACATTTTTTCTTTATCAGATTCTTATCCAGTTTTACAGAGCGTATTATATTATTCAGTTATAAAAAGTAATTTAATATTCTTATTATGATGTTAGCCCCTTCAATTTAGAATCCTGGCTTCGCCCCTGCATCTTTAAACATTAGGTGATACTACTCCTTGTTAACCAAATGTCTTCTAGATTGTTTTGGTTCATTGGGGCTCTTGGAAGGAACATGATTGTTACAAACATGTGTGGTTCATTTGCACTCCTGTTAGTGTTGGTTTTGGGTGGTTTTGTCCTTTCACGAGGCATTTAACTTTTTCAAACATCATTTCTTTTACTTTTATTTATCAACTAAGATATATTTATTATTTTTGTTTACTGAAGATGATGTGAAGAAATGGTGGGTATGGGGGCACTAGTCATCTCCTATGATGTATGCAATGAATGTAATTGTAGTCAATGTGTTTTTAGGACATGGTTGGAGAATAGTAAGTTACATAAACCTTTGTTTTATGTGTTTATCACATTCTATAAAATCATTCAAACTTACATTTTGAAATGTTTTTTTATTGTTTGATAGCCTTTGAATGGGACAACACAAGGGAAAATAGTTATCACGAGTAGAGGGTTTTATGCAGAATCTTACTGGTATTGGATTGCAGTTGTAGCCTTGATTGGATTTGTTCTTGTTTTCAACATCATGTTCGGTTTATCTCTAGACTTGTTCAAATGTGAGTTTCATAATTGAAATGTTGTTATGGATGATTCTTTAACCTAACATTTGTTTTTTTTTTTTTCTTTTTGTTCTACAACTTTTAGAAAAACTCAAGGTAACGCATCAGGTGATGATGATGAAGCAGTTGTTGAGTTATTAACTTTGAAGAAGGATGGAGATGAGGGAAGTCAAATCAAGAAGAAAGGAATGATCCTTCCATTCTATTTTTGTTGTTTTTGCTTTTATAAATTACAAAATCAGTCTCTTGTTGCTATTTTATAATTTTACAGTTTGTAGTTTGTTATTGGCTCTTGTTATTGTGTTACTTAATGAAGGACCCCAACTTTCGTATTTCTGAAAGACCCAAACTTTCATACTTCACAATATTATTACTCCAAAACATGCTACTTGTATATTCATAAAAGCAATATTTTATATTGATAAAGAGGTTACAAACTACTATATACAAACCGACTATTACAAAGTGTTATATATTACATAACTATTCTAAATCTTTCAACGAATATGATCATATTGGTTACTTATCACCTGCAATTGTTAAACATTGATAGGGTAAGCGGTGACGCTTAGTGAGTTCAATAATAGATACAATATAACGTTATGTCATATATATACTTCAATATGGCAGAAGCAAAGAGAAACAAGGAACAAAAAAAGGCATATGTGAATCATGTGTTAAGTTTTCCATATCATTCAATGACTTGATTCAAAGATATACAATCAATGAGACATAACAATTTCTATACTTGATATACATCAATAAAGCTTCGGTCCAAATGGCACAGAAGACATAAGATTTATGATTAACATCTTGGTAGATTTCAGGCTTATGACCCTGTCTAACCATTTGTCAATGCTATAGAATAGAAGTCAATCTCTTACGGAGACATACTTTACATGGCCAGAGGCTATGTACCAGTACCAGTGTGAATCTAAGTCTTTTCACTGATCACATGGTCAAAGGTATTACTTTTATTATAAAAATAGTGAATAAAATAACACGGGAAAATAACTCGGAATTATAACACTGAAAATCACATAGCACATATAATACATAACATACAATTGTTCCTATATATTGAACTCACCTTGAATTAACTGGGAGTCAAAATAGTAATTTGGGCAGCACTTCGGCTTTAAATATGACTTTCTATGTTGAAAATCGGGAGCTTAATTGAAAACCGGGTTCTGCGAAGGTAGTGCTTCAAAACCGAAAAGATAAATTTTTCGGGCTTCTCGGGAACTTCGGGGCGTGTTTCGGGCTTTGGAATTAGTACTGGGGCTTAGGGGGAAGTGGAAGAAGAGGAAATATAAGTTTAGGGGTGAAAATTGTCAAATTTGTAACTTTTACCCGGGAGGTCTCGCACCCCTTATATAGGTGCCAGCCTCGGATCCGAAGAGAGGGGGTGAGGGCACGTGTGTGCGAGGTTCGGACTAGGTGGCAGCATGGGCGAGGCTCGGATGCGAGAAGGCTACGTGCTGGCTTCAGATTCGGCCAGCACCTTAGACAACTGTGCGACACGCGTCGCTCCTCAGACGTGCCATGACTCGGATGACACAACGCTTCGTGCGAAGGACGTGACTAATTCCGGACCATCCATGCGAGATTCTTCGGAAATTGAGCCCTGAACTTCTAAAATCCACAACTTTCGCATACGGTCTCCATTTTTGACGTTCTTTGTATGCACGCGTAGGCGGGAATATAATCTAGAACTTTCGGTTAGACTTTGCCTCCTAATTTTGACTTTATTTTTAATATTATTATTTTTAGCAGACCGGGACAGGAAAATCCGTTAAAAATTCATAACCT